GATAGATACCATAAAATAAAGATGTACAATTATGTTTGTCAATGTAAAAGAAAAGTGTCTGAAAAGACTTCAAACCTATAAGCCCTGATTCTTAAACCAAGTTAGGTTTTAATTTCCTGAGTGCTGGCCTTCAGATTAGGCAATTTTATTATTTAAGATGTTCTTATTATCTTTTCATATTGCTTTAGGCTCCGAGGCAAGCAGACTCAGTGAAAGCCGCACAGTAGCTTCTTGTTCTGACAGTTGCTGCCTGTGTGATCTCAATGCACCTGCTTGTGGCTATATTTTACTGCTAGTGCTCGTGGCTACCACAGGCACTGTCAGCTTCATCCCTTCTGATTCTTAGTGACTTGGTTTATAGATTTCTTCTTGAGATTTGGAGTTTGGATCTTTTAAGATTGTTCATTTTATCTGGGTGGTCTTTTTCATGAGCATGCAAATATGCACATAGTTGTGCATTCAGTAACAAATATATGCTCTGTACAGACAAAGAAGAAAAAGCGTTGTTAATAGCATATGCATGCACACACACACACACACTCTTCCTTTCAGTCTTTCTGGGCTGACAATGTGAGTTTGTTTTAAATACACGGAGCTGTCTTTGAAGGCCATGGCATTGTACAAGTACAACGGCCTCTTGCTGTCATTGGTTTCATGGCTGTGGTTGCTGATGGGATGATTCGCCCAGCACAGCCACAGGCTGGATGAGTCAGGATGCACTCCTGAACTCTCCTCTGAGGCACTCTCCTTTCACTTTATGTGACATATATTCCATTCTTGAGTTCTTTACTTTGATTCATTTCTTATTCATTTGATTTATCTGTTACAATTGTGTTCACATTGCCTATAGAGGGAATTCAAAATAATAGTGGCTCAACCCCAACCTTCATTATCCTCTCATCTAAAACAAGTTCAGATTAGGCAATTTCACTTAGATGGAGTCACAGCGTAATATCCAGGCCACTTTCATCTTTGTTTTCTGCCATTGTTAGCAAATGGCTTCCTTCTACCAGGTCATTGCATGATCCTTGATGGTGGCTGGACTTTTAGATGGTTCCACTGCATTCTAGGAGGTAGGGAATGGGCAAAAGACACAAGAGAACTCCTTCCAGCTGAGTTCACTTCCTCAAAATAATTGTCCTGAATCTTACCCAACAACCTCCACTTGCATCTCATTGGCCAGAATTAAATAACAAAATGTTTTTAGTGGGAAAAATTTCTAACTCAAATAGAAATAGAGTACAATTATTCAGAAAGAAGAGGAGGCAATGATCTGAAGTTCCTATTGCACTTTTATCTCATTTTTAATGTAAAATTTTCAACTGATACATAAAACAAAAGTTGTATACATTTATGGGGTACAATGTAATGTTTTGATACATGTATACATTGTTCAAATCAGGGGAAACATTTATCTTCTAATATTTATCATTTCTTATGATAAAAACATTCAAAATTCTTTCTTCTAGCTTGTTGAAATATACAACACATTACCATGATTTAGAGTTACCCTATTGTACATAGCATTCCAGAACTTCTTACTTGTAAGAACTTCCAACTGTAACTAAGTTCCCACTCATAACCTTCCCCCATCTCTCTCTCTCCTGCCTACTCTCTCAAGCCTGTGGTAAGTCACCTGACTCTCAGCTCTTATGAGATCAACTTTTTAATATTCCACATATAAGTCGATCCTGTAGTACTTGTCTTTATGTAGTGATATAGTATTGGCATAAAAACAGGTACATATGGAATGATAGGAAGAGCCTAGAAGTAAAGCCATGCATCTACAGCCAACTGATTTTCCACAGGGGTGCTAAGTACAAACATTTTAGAAAAGACACTGTTCAATAAATGGTGCTGAGAAAATTGGATTTCCACATGCAGAGGACTGAAAATAGACCTCTGTGTCACACTAATTATAAAAAGAATCCTCTCTAAATGGATTAAAGACTTAAATGTAAGACATGAAACGATTAAAAGAGGGGAAATGCTTGAGGACATTGGAATTGGCAAAGATGATTTTGGACAAGACCCAAAAAGCACAGGAAACAAAACCAAAAATAGACAAGTGGTACTATATCAAACTAAAAGCTTCACACAGTAAAAGAAGCAATCGTCAAACTGGAGACAACCTACAGAATGGAAAAATATTTGCAAACTATACTTTTGACAAATGACTAATATCAAGAACATAGAAGAAACCTGAAAACCCAACAGCAAAAAACAAATTTAATAATGTGCAATAGACTTAATTAGATATTTCTCAAAAGAAAACATACAACTGGTCAGCAGGTATTTGAAAAAAGTGCTCAATATCACTAATGATTGTGGGAATGCAAATCAAAACCACAATGAGATAGTACCTCATTCCATTAAGAATGTTTACTGTCAGCCAGGCACCTGTGGCTCATGCCTATAATCCCAGCTATTTGGGAGGCTGAGACTGGAAGGATCATGGTTTGAGGCCAGCATGGGCAAATAGTTCATGAGACTCCATCTCCAAAATAACCAGAGCAAAACATGGACTTTGGAATTTAGGTGTGGCTTGACTGATTGTGCAAAGCCCTGAATGCAAACCCCAGACCCACCAAAAAAAGAAAAAATAGTAGAATGAATACTGTCAAAAAGACAACATTAAGTGCTTGTGAAGATATGGAGAAAATGGAACCCTTGCACACTGTTGATAGGAATGCAAATTAATATGACCATTATGGAAAATTGTATAGAAGTTCCTTTAAGAATAAAAAATAGAATTAACCATATGATCCAGCAATCCCACTACTGGATATATACTCAAAGAAATCAGAATGTGGAAGAGATGTCTGCACTCTCAGTTTATTGCAGCACTATTCACAACTGCCAAAAAATGGAAACAACCTGAATGTCCCATCAGATCATGGATAAAGAAACTGTGATACATATTTCTCATGGAATAGTATCAGCCATGAAAACAATCACTAACTTAGGTCAAGTACTTCTTGTTTTTAAACCATATCATACAACCAAGTACAACCAAGCAATACTCTAGCAGTTCTCACAGAAAGATACATAAGCGATAAATTTTTAAGCCATTGCAGAGATGGAAAAGAAAAACTCTTCCATTTACTTTTATAATAAAATGCAATTGACTATGTATAATATTCTTGGGTCATAGGCATTCCAAAAATCTGAAAGTCCTCTGTGTGTCATACTATCATCATCCCATTCAGGGTTGCAGACGAGCCTCAAAACCAGGGTTGGTTTTTCCATTCTACATATGCTGTTACAAGTTGTTATTTGTGCTTTACATTGTTGACTTTGTGCAATAAGACATTCCTTTGTACATAGAATTCATTTTACAATATGGTTGTCCACTAATATTTTATCATATGAAAGTAAATGGTGCAAAAGTGTAATTATTGACAGCTTCATAAACAAGAAGTTTACATTTAAGTGTATCTTTTTTCCATAGAGAAATAAAGCGATTCTTATGGGTGAAGGACTGTCAAATACCTTTGTTGAAATTCTTGTTTCTGTACTCTAAGGCTTGATATTGGAAATTAGCCAAAGAAAACTGTCAGTAAACTGGCTCCAGTTTCTCTAAGATAATGCCTAAATGTAGGTATATTATGCTCTCTCTTTTGAAATACCTTTGAATAGGAATGGAATTAAACTCTGTATGACAATTTAAGGAATGAGATAAATTGTCCTTACCTTGCTTGTCTATAGTCCTACTTGTATGCAGACTAAGGAATATGTGCTTCTTTTGTGCTTAACATCAGGCAGTATTTTCAGAAACATTTGGTTTACTATTTGATGCATATAAGTTTCCAAAAATTTACAAATTATTAAGGTAATTTATACTTCCATACTGTCTTAGATATCTATGGTTACATAACAATTATCTAAAAATTCAGTGACTTAAAACACTAACCTTAGTATCTTAAAGATTCTGTACGTCAGGATTCTAGACATGACTTAGGTGCGTTCTATGCTTTCAAATATCTAGGAGATTTAGGACCCCACATCCTATGGGAAAAAATGGAGAAAATAATTTTCAGATTTTCCTCAAGTGAAAAACTATTGCACCAACACCGCTATGCATTTTGATCAGTTTTTTTTTTTTGTCACCATGACAAGTAGCTGAGAGAAAAAAATTTAAAAGAGGAAAATTTTATTCTGTCTCACAGTTTCAGAGGTTTCAGTCCATCTCTGTGAGCCTGTGGTAAGGCACAGCATCATGGTGGAGAGGGTGTCATGGAGCAAGGTGGCTACCTCATGGCAGCCAGAAAGCAGAGAGGTGGGGGGGGGGAGGAAGAGGAAGATGGAGAGAATGCCTGCCTGTACTAGTGGACTTCCTCCTTCTTCCCCTTTTATTCCATCAGCCCCCTCCCCAGCCTTTGGGATGGTATTGTCCACACCACATTCAGGGCAAGTCTTTGGAAACTTCTGGAAATAGCCTCATAGACACACTCAGAGTTGTACTTTAAATAATCTCCTAGGTGTCTCTCAGTTATATTAAGTAGACAAAATTAGATACCACACACATGCATATATGTATATTCCTGATTAAAATTTTTGGAATTTTTGCCTTCTATCATTGTTTCTATTGTTGTATATAGTGAACAATAGCTACTGTGGCAGTTAGAAGAGCAATCTTTAAGTATTCCCTTAGGGTCAACTCCAAAGAAATGGGACTATAGACTAAATTCTAATGTTAGGAATATACTCTTATGAAATGTGTTGAATATATTGTCTTGAATTTTCAGAAAGACTGTCCTTGTGGTACTTAGACTAGCTACCTATGTCCCAAATATTCCTGAGAGGTAATATTTCTAACAATTACTTATGTTATAGTGACTGGTTTAATTTGTACAAAAAACTGAAAATATTTCAATTTGATGACATAGAAATAGGTATGTTAAAAGTTTTACTCAGTTTATATATTTAATGCTGCACTATTTTCCATAGAGTTATAATAAATCTCTCTACTGCTCTCTCTTTGACCACTTTTTAAAAATAGACTAAGATGCCTAGTGAAACAGCTGGAAAAAGGCGATGTCAACGTGGTGGACTTAAAGAAGAATATTGAATATGCTGCGTCAGTACTAGAAGCAGTTTACATCGATGAAACAAGGTAAGGCTTAACCTCTCTTCACTTTATCTTCATTGCTTCTTTCCCCTTATTCCTCTTTAACTCCAGCAGGAATTTAGCATATCTTAATATAAAACAAAAATCAAAACCTTACTAAAATTTGAATGATTCTTTGTCAGGTAGCTAATTAACTAGACTACAATTCTTCTTTAAAAAATATACACTTTAATCCAAATGCTTGAATATAATAAACCAGTTAAACAGAAAAGTCATAAAATAAATACAATGTCCTCTTTCTGTACCATCACTGTCCTTACGCCCAGACTTTCAAATGTCAGAGTCATGTATAAGCTTATATTGGTTTTCACTAATATAAGAGCTTTTCCTGTTCTCTTAGGTTCCAAAGATTCTTCTGAGAAAATAAATGGATGTTACATGCACACACATCTTTATGGGATCCTTTGTGGAGGGTTTGTAAATGTGTTATTACTCAAATCTAGCCTCCTAGTCTGTAAAGTGGTAAAGAGATTAAGAAAGGAGATTAGGGCAGATGGTCGTTAAGACAGTGCTGTGGCTCTCAGCCAAGCTGCTTGCCCTCCAAGGGATATTTTTGAAACTCAAGAGATTCAGCCAATGCCTGTTGGTGTTTGGAGAGCTCTGAGACTGGTCCCTGGTTGTCATCTCAAAAAAGACAAAGTGACAGGCTGATGAAAGCTACCTGTGAATTCTTGTTTAAGGAACCTGCAGAAGGAGAGATGTACAATTCCAGAATCTGGCTTTGAAAACATGCTGACTTTCTCAAAGCCATAAGGAAGGAGAAGTAGAGGTTTCTTGAAGTAGCAGAGTATTGACATCAAATGGTGAAAATAGAGGGATGTTAGGTGACGTCTGGTATAAGAAAGAGTGTAAGAATTGTAAATCAGCCATACTATCAGGAAAAATACAATATTCAAGGTGCTCTCTTGGAGTAGTAATCCCTGAAGGACCTACAAAAGATGGTCTTTAGGAGAATGATGGAGGGGGCAAATTCATCTGTGACATATTGTAAGGACTTTTCTAAATGTCACAATGTACCCTCAGTACAACAGCAATAATAAATAAAAACAAAAACAAAAACAAAAACCAATGGTCATTTGTAAAAAGTAGCCAGCATGTGGACATTTATTACAGGGCACCCAAATCACCAGTCTAGTAGATCATTTACAGGATAAGTAGAAGACAGAGAGAGTGAACACCCCACCTAGCCTATTCCCTCTGTCCATGATGGGCCAGACCTGAGCTGGGTAAAGTGAGAAATGCGCAACTAGTTGTGAGATCAAAGTTTTTGTTAACCTTTGTGTGCTGAACTTCACATGCTTACATACACACACACACACACACACACACACACACAGAGACACACATAAATAATGTTTAATAGGAAATAAATTCACTATTCAAAAATCAAAACAATAAAAGAGGGCTTATCCCAGTCTTCTCCATTGCCCACTAAATCTCATGTATCTTTCCAATGATATTATAATTTTTTTTTATTTTCCCTCCTCCTTTCATGGAAGATAGCATAGAATGTACATGGTCTTTTGTTTTGCTTTTTTTTTTTCACTAAAAAATGAAACTTGGAGATCTTCTTGTTTTAAACTTTTTAGTGTTCAAGGAGAATTTTCACTAGTAACTGACAGCAAAGGTCACAGTTGAAGGCTGTGGTGCACAGGTGCGTCGCCATTCCCAGAATGGAATTCCTCTGTTAAAGCCTGGTTGGGAGCTATAAATTAAGAGGGAAATCAAAGGCACACTATTAGATTATAAATTCCATCCAGAACTGTTTTCAAGGTTAACTTTCATTGAATGCGTATATGTATATATGACATTCTAAATGGACAGAGATCCAAAGTGTGAATTTAAAAACCTGATGTTTCTTTAATTTCTTTCATCCTTCATTTTTATGTGTGCTCTTTTTGTTCACAAGTTGACTGAATTTAACAGATTTCTTCAATCTCTCCTTGACCAGACAGTTCATTTTATATTATTTATAAATTTAAGAACTTTTAAGAATTACTTGAGAAAAAGAACAAAAGAATTATTTGGAGACTTACATCATTCATGTTACAATGACATAATGCAAGCTATTTCTTTTCCTTGAGTATCCTGTCTTTTGTTGGATAGATTTTGGGGGAGGCGGTACTGGGATTTGAACTCATAGCTTCGCACTTGCTAGGCAGGTGCTCTACAGCTTCAACCATATTTCCAGACCTTTTCATTATGGTTATTTGGAGATAGTGACTCACTTTTTGCCCAGGCAGTCCTGGACCACATCCTCCTATTTTAAGCTTCCTGCAGTTTCAAGGATGTACAAACACACTACCATTGAGATGGGGTCACGCAAACTTTTTAGGCCTGGCCTGGCCTGGAACCACAATCCTCCTGGTCCCATGGTGTAAATATTTCACTGTAACCGATTTCAAGCTCCCCATGTATTTATCACTGAGGGTGAAATTGGGAAAAGGCAAGATGTGAGATCTCATCTCTAAGTAGCTAAGATCTAAGTTAGCCACTGGCACCTAGATGATAGATTATTATATGCTACGTTTGTTAACTTTTGTGTTGTATTTCCCATGCCTGAAATTATGAATTCATGAATATTTTGATCAGTTATGTCCCAAAAATCCCTAATTGATTTAAATGTGTTATATTTGTAGCTTTTTTCCAATTGAAAATTGCTCTGTTATAGGAAAAAAGTTTAAGCACAGTGTTAAACTGCTTCATGGTAAATATTTATTTTTTTTCTCTCCTTATGAAACATTCCTAACAGCCCATCATTCCTAATTTTTACTCATAAAATAAAACTTTCTGTGCTTTATTTTAATACCTCTTGGCATTGTTATTTTTAATTCAGCTTAATTAATAATAATACCCCAAATTTATATTATCTTCCAAAGGCGGTTTCATTATCTCTCCACTATCATATGCAATTGTCTGAGTGACTATTTTCTGCTGCATTTTACTAATGAGATAACTAAACTCATTAAACATCATGACAATCTATGAGCTAGAAACTGTTATTACCATTTTGTATATGAGGAATCTAAACTACAGAAATTTTATACAGCTTACCCAATATAATAAGTGGAAGAGTGGGGGTAGAGCCTTGGCAATCTGAATCCAGGACTTAGGTGACTAAGCGCACATCTCATCCTCACTCCTCCTGTAACATTGGACTAGAAGGCGGCTTCAGAGACTTGCAGTAAGTGCTGATGGACACTCACGTATCTTCAGGATCTTCAGGCCCAGTATTGTGCAGGCTGTGTCATATCTATTCTCTTCCCAATTTCGCCCTCAGTGATGATACATGTGTGGTTTGAAATTGGCTACAGTGGAATATTTACCATGGAACCTGCTAAATGCTGCAAATCAGATTTTACTTTCTCTAGAGAGTGAGCCCGTTGTTAAACATTTACCACCACACCACTTAAGATTACCTTTTAAGAATCTTCCAATAACTATGATTTTATGGTAAAAATATGAGCTTAAGAAATTTTATAACAACAATACTTAACATGGTTTTGATTTTCTATAAATGGAAGAAGACACCTCAGTAAACTGAGTATATTCAGATGTGTGTACAATTATTAAAGTATTGTTTGCTTTAGGAATGTTAGTGAAACTGAAATTATTTAAAAGGAATAAGGATCAAGAAGCATTTCATTTCTTTTAGACTTATATTTTTAAAACTGCTAGTTTCTAAAACTTTTTTACTGGAAATTTTATCTAGATAAAATGATTCAGTCAATAGTCCAGAGAGGTGTGGTATAAAGTTGACTGGACTTTTTAAAAAGTCACTATATGGTAATACAGGATAAAACAGAATCTTCTTCCTACTAGGCATTAATGACTATAGAGTTTGATTTGTTTTAGTTAAGAGAACAAATCAAAACAAAAATCTTGCTTTCAAGATGATTTTGGAGAGAAAAATGGAAACAGTTTCTGATAGAAATTGAATTCTGACTTTTGTGGAGATTACAGCAAAATTCTTTAGTGAATATGACCATTCTTTAGTTTTTTAAAAAGACATTTTCATATGCAAATGTCAATGCTTTATGAGTCTTACTTTCAGATGTGTCTTTAGCGGCTATTATTTTTCAAAGTTGCATGATAATTCAGAAACATGTGGCCTAAAAAAAAATAAATTTGTTTGTCCTTATTTGGTTTGGGACACTGCTGAGCAGAGTCACCTCCTTGACCTCATGAATAGCAGGGTAGGCAGCTGACTGGGTGGTATACTCACAGAGATGGATGTTGTGCTTGCTAATTCTAAAAAAGCTATAATTTATAACTTTATTTTGGTTGATGTGAGCCAATCTGTTTTTTGATTATCATGGTTAAGAGTATAAACTGTGGACTCAGAAATAGCAGGCTATTCAAAGTCTGAGTCCTCTATTCAGTGTTCTCTTTCTTTAAGAAAGTTACTTTACATCTATAATATTTAATTACCATCTATAAAATCAGAATGAGAACAATGCTCACCTTATAAATTTGACATAAGAATTATATGTAGAATATTCCTAATAGTGAACATTGGATTATAACCATTATTTTTGTTGTACTAATAAAATGCAAATATACTTAACATTTGGAGGACATATAGCACATTAAGATACATGCCTTCTAGTGAATACATCAAATAATTTCCTAAGAGAAGGTTTGGTCTTGAAGAAAGAAGACAACTGGGCTCTCACTGCCAGGGAGTGAAAGCAAAGAATAAAATGATGCAGAAATATTCAGCCCCATAAAAATATCTTCAATTAACTAGTGTGTCTTAGGAAGACTTAAGGGTGCTTAATTTGGGGATAAATGATCTTGAATGACAGTGGCATTGATACTGATCAGTACTCAAAAAGTTAGTCCCATAGAAATTGAGTGATATTTAGGGCATCTTGGAAACTAAGAACCTTGAAATCATTGAATATAGGGATTTTCCAAGGAACCTTCACTCACTTATCAAATATTTATAAGAACCTAAAGTCATTATTGTGCACAATGGTGAT